TTTTATTGTATAAATTACTTAGTAGTTAATTATATCAATAATAGTAATAGTATAAATAGTGTGTATATATATATATATATATATATACACGTGTATATACATATATATATATACAGTATATAATTTATATGTATATATATAATATACATATATATATATATATATGTATACACAAAGTGTTTTATAATAAGGTTATTTATTAACTAAAAGTTTCAAGAAAAAGTATAATGAAAATGACATATGGGTGACAAATGGGTCATCGACATAATCACTGAAGATGAGTCAAGTTTCTTAATATGAAATCACTAATTGGTAGAACCGGCAAAATGATTTATATGATATTAATATTTCATTAAAACAATAGAATTAGCAAACTTAATAAACTTACACTTCTCACCAAAAATCAGTCGATTGCTTCCACTAAGGAATGTAAAATGAACAACGTAATGTTTGTCTACAGAGAATCACGACAAGAATTCACACACGACTTCTCAAGATTATGGCGGCCGGACGTACAGATAAGTATACGTGTTCGAAGCCACGCCTATCAAAACACCCGTTTTCTGATTGGTGGTAGCTTTTGCCACGTATGCAAAGCACTGGTACAAACGAGAACAAAATTCATCTACGAATTTCGTTAATTGTCAGTGACAATTAACTACGGTAAATGATTGATAATTCATGATAACTTACATACTACACGCATGCAAGAGTTAACGTATTTGTGTGACACTGTGTCAATTTTATATACTAAACAAGCTGACCAACTTAATAAAACATAGAGTTTGATTATTTCATGATTATAGAGTTCTATTTTAAATGTATTTTATATAAAAACAACGAAATATTTTATATATTTGTACTTACACTAAATTTTTAATAAAATTTTTTTAATAATAAAAATAGTAATATATTTATTTAACGATTTAATTTTATTGTAATTTATAATTAACTTTTTAACATATAGAAAAATATGATATTTTTATCCCACGCTTATCAAAGTATATAAGTATATTAAGTATAATAAAAATTTTATTGGAATGTCTGTTTGCTAATCTGAAAATAATATAAAAAATTATAAAGTTTAAATATTAACTATATGATTATAGACTTTGTTTTAACAAATAGATATTTAATGTTCTCTATTTATACAATCTTAATCAATTTTTATTATTATATAACATTTTTTAACAAACAGTATTATGCGCTTTATATTTCTAATGTAAACTAATAATAAGAAGACGCATGATACTCAGAAATAGATAATCAACATAAAATGAATGTTTAAGAATTTGAATGAAATATGCCACTTTTTTTGTTGCTTTTTAATGTATAAAAGCATTGGCAGTATTTCAAATTATTGTATATAAATTTTCTGATTATTAGCATAAAATTTTTTTTTTTACTGTATTACATAAACATTATAATTGTACCGCAAATCGATAAATATACGTTTTCCACAAAACGTTATTTATCATTTATTAGAAGTTTATTTTAAAAAATTGCACGAAACTTTTCATTTATAGATTTTTCTTTTTCTTATGATAAAAAAGGATTTCAATATTATTAGGAAATGCATTCATGCAACTGCTCGTGCTTCAGGCAAAAAGCTTTCCCAATATTTAATAAGTTGATTTTGATATTGTAACATAGATTCCAAATATTCTGTTAATTGTTTTTTAAAGTCTTCTACTCTTACTAATTCAAATCGTTCAAGTTCTTTTTTAATCATTTTTGAAATATTATCAAATTCTTCTTGCCCTCTATCAACTTTTGCTTCCCATTCTATTACTTCAGTAGCAGCTTGACTTGTTTTGTCAGTTCTGCCAGATTGTTCTAATCTTGCTTTTTGTTCTCGTTTCTTATTTAGCATCATTTGAGCATGTTGCCAATTTTGAAAAACTTTTACTCTTTCATGAAATACATCCTAAAATTAACAAGAATTTAAACTGTATAATAATTAAAATTTAAAAAATAAGTTGAAAAATATAAATTGATCACTAACCTTTATTGCTCCAATGAGTGCAACATAATCTCTTAACATCTCTCCAAATTGATAAAGATCACTGTTACTTTGTGCTCTTCTGATTACTTCTACTTTTTCTAAAGTTTCAGCTAGTTGAGCTAATGCCCTTCCAAGAGATGCTCCCGGTTCACCATGACCAAGAACTGCGATAGATCTTGCTGTTGCACCAGTACATGTTGCTAATTCTCTTCTCTGATTAGTTAAAGTATCTACAGCAGAATGTAATGCACGTAGTTGAACATCGAGAGAATCAATTTGTGATGTCTTTTCTTCAAACCACTAAAAAAAAAATTAAAAATACACAAAATATATAAAGATACAGGATGTTCAGGTAAAATAAAAAGAAAATTTAGGCGACTTTAAATATTAAAATAAACATAAAAATTGATGTGATGAAAACAAAATCTTATTATTTTTTCATTTCATCTAAAATCAATTTAAAAAATTAATTTGAAGTTTTAACTGATATTTTTGCATATCAATTTTTATGAATATTTTAATTTCTACAATCGCCTTTTTTTTCTATTTATTTCATCCGAATACTCTGCATTAAAAAATGTTTATGTTATAATTAATTAAATAAATAATTAAATAAAAGATATTTTGTAATATATATGTATACATATATACATATAATATACATATATATGATGCAAAATAATAATTATACAATTTTTTAATTTTACTTTATCAGTTTCATCCATTTTATATGTTATCTTATTAACAGTTTCTCCAACTTTGTTAAAAAGCCTCATTACGCCTTTACCACTAAGTGCAGATGTATTAGTAGCTTTAGGTAATTCCATATCTGTTTGAAATATACATAAAGTCATACATATGATAGTATTTAAGAAAATTGTTTTATTTTATACTATGACTTACCAGCTTCTAAAAATTCTCTAAAATCAGGATCAACACTAAGTACTGGATGAGCTGCAGTTCTATTCAAATATCTTTCAAGTGCTGCTCTGCGTTTTTCAATAAATTCTGTAGAACTAGAATTTTGTTCCTGATTCTTATCACCAGATATTTTAATTTTTGTTGTTCCTAAATATAAAGTATTTATTTTATTAAATAACATAATAAAATGATATATTATCTATTATAAAATATTTTTTACCAATGACACTTTTTTCTGGAGCAGGTGGAATTATTCTGCCATTTCTAAGATATTTATCTGTTAATTTGTCATGGAGACCAAGAAAATCACTAAAACGTCTAATAACACTAAAATTTCTTTTTCTAAATATTGGCATATTTGTCTTTGTTTCAACTTTATAAGCAACATAAGCACCCATTCCATCTCCTATTTTTTGAGGAGAGGTAACTGTAATTTTTAAAAAAATATCGGAAGAGTCTGATACCTATAAAATATATATATATGATATATATATTTTTTTAACATTTTGTTATTAACAATTAATAGTTTAAAATATACCATATCAGTTGATTGAGTTTGCATAACATTTGTTGATAGTATATCTGTATTATCATTTATGGGAACATCATGGAGATCGCCTATATCAGTACTCATTGGTCCCAATGGTGAACTTAATGGTCCTGGTGCAGGACTTGATACTGATGAAAATGAATTTTCTTCTGGTACATCTCGCAAAGTTAATTTTGGTAACTCTGTTTGAATAGTAGATACTCCATTATATGGAGGTGAATCTTCCAATTGACTTTGATCCTGACACATTTCAAAAATTTTATTAAATTTTTTATTAAATTTCATTTTAAAAAATGTATAAAACAAATATAAAACAATTTTTTTTAAATAAATATTGATAATTGATTGATAAATACAAATATATATTATATTTATTATAACATAAATAAACTTTTAAAACTAATTTATAGGTTGTAAAATTTTTATATGCACATATTTAAAAATAATATAAAAAATACCTGTACTGCTGATGCAAAAATATCTTCATCATCATCATCTAAATCATCGACTTTTGTTTCGTTAGTATCAAATAGTGGCGGAGATTCTTTTATATCAGCCATCTTAACAATTCTGTCAATTTACTGAGAAATGTAAGTATATACTGGGATCGGCCCCCTAAGTATTATATGCCAACGTCAATTGCTATCTAAGACTATCGTATTTCTCACAGAATTTATATTTGTGCTTTATAAACTTTCTAATTTATGTTTTTTGCACATTTACATATTAATATAAAAGTCGCATAAATTACAAGATATAATATATAAACAATAAATTAATAATTACGTTATTATAAAGGCGTCTACTGATGAAGTCAGTTAGTTGCGGTTGGATGAAAAAATGCATTATGTACTGTTTCATTCACAATAAATTGTTATCGTCTAGTGATGAATTTGTAGCGGCATATTTAAAAATAATAAAAGAAAGAATGATTTTATTATATCTAATTATTTTCTGAATAATGTCATCATATTTTTGAAAATCGAAGATTAAAAATTTGTAAATATTTAAAAATTTTTAATACAAATATTTAAATATAATTAATAATATAAATAAATACATGTTTCTAAGAGAATTATACAAATCTATGGTTCACTCAAGACATATATATATATATATATCATAAAATATACATATATACTTTCATATAGTACTTTTGTATATCATACAATATATATTATATATTATTTTTATGTATATTAAGAATCAACTTAGAGAAAGTTGTATGTATATTTATATTTAATATTTATTCATAAAATTTTTTATAAATATTTATTGATTGTGTCAGAAATGAATCAAATATCTAGAGAAGAAATAAATATCAGACGACTTTTAACAAGATGTGAATTAATGGCAAAAGATGATCCTCATAAAGATTGGAAACTTGAAAAGGTTTAAAAAATATATAATATAAATTAATATAATAATTTTCAAATTATTAATTTTAAAATTTATTTAAAATAAAGATATCAATTATTTCAGTATATCTTTACTTTGGATAATATGATTAAGCATTTACAAACATTATCAAGGTATAATTTTATTTTATCTTTTAAAAAAGAAAAATAATATTTATTAATAAAAATTTAATTTTAATTATAATATAAGCAATATAAATCTTTTTAAATTATAATAAAATTAGTGAAATTAATAAATTTTTAGTAAACCATCTAAAGATACTATGATGAGTTATATTAAACGAATAGATTTTTTAAAAGGTTTAATAAATACTTCTAAACTTACAAATCCAGTAGACAGAGTTGTAGCAGTACAAATGTTACCAAAAAATTCTACGACTTTTAATGATTCAATTGGTCCAAATATAACAACCCAAATACATCAAAAAACTTCAGCAAAATATAACAGAGAATTACGAGCTGAGTTATTTCATAATGATAAAGGTATATAAATTATATTTAATATAATAATTAAATTATTTATAATATATAATAAAATTTGTTATTTATTATTTTTTAGGAATATCAGAAGATGGTATAAGACAAAGATCATCTACTATGAATATGCAAGATGATGATTTGGATGCACTTTTAAAATACAATAGAAATATTCAAGAAAAAATTGCTGAAAATATGCTTTCAATGACTAGTAGTATAAAAGAACATGCTTTAGCAGCAAATGCTATTATAAAAAAGGATATTAGTTTGCTTGAAAAATCTGATAAATTAACAGATATTAATACAAATAAACTAAAAACAGAATCATTAAAATTACAAGAACATACACAATCGTATTGGCGATGTTGGATGTGGGTAATGATTGCATGTGTTTTAGTTATATTTTTTAGTAAGTATATATTGCATAATATAAATATATTTACATTATGGCATTATAATATTATTATAATACAATTTATTAATTTTCTTAAAATATGTTTATATAATATATGAAATTATTTTTATATTTTGTTTTAGATATGGTATTATTTATAAAAGTTGCAAAAAAAAGAGTTTAGATTTAAATTAATAAATAATTAATAAATATATATATAATTAATTAAAACAAATAAGATTGTATATAAATGTAAATAATACATTTATATAATTTATATGAAATTAGATTAATAAAATGAAATTAAAAATAAAACTTCCATCCATCATTTCAAATATTTGTATTGTAGTTATATTATATATAAATATAATATCGTATAGTTATATTATATTAGTATTATTCATTATTATTATAATTATATATAATATATATACATATACATTCGTTTTATTATTATACAATATATATATATATTATAATATTATCCGCAATTTCAATTATTTGTTGAGAATCTTAAAATCTATACTCATAATATGGAGATTTTATTATATGATAAATTAATTACCAAATTAAAATTAAAATAATTTGTATAATTATATTTTTCAAAAGAATTTATATTAAATAATTAGAATGAATGAATTTAATATATGTATATGTAATATATGTATATATGTAACTAAATTTATAATAACAAATAATTTTAAGAAAAAATATTATAAATATATTATGTATTTTCTTGTTATTTATTTATAATCAAATAATTTAAATTTTTACATTTTTTTGCTGAACCATCTATTGAAATCCAATCTTAATAATAATTGTGCTAAATGTTCTCCACTTGGTTGTGCACGTACTCTATTCAAAGTTTTAGTTAACCAACCCATTAAACTCCTAAGAGTATCAGATAATGTATTAAGTTCTTCTTGTTCTGTTAAAAGTAAATCACCTACTTCCCACATTGATGCTTGTAAAATAAAATCATCACAAAGTCGTAATAAAAGTTTTATTAATTTATTCACCTATAAAAATATTCATTAATAAATAAACAAATAAATAAATAAAATATAAAAAAAAATATTCAATTCATATTTAAATATAACATACAGGATTTTTTCTCTCTGTTGAACTTCCCAATAAAAATGTTTGTGACATAACATTAGCTAAAAAAATACAATGTGCCCTTTGTACATCTTCAAAATTTCGAGTATTTTTTATATTTGTTTCCATTATAGTATATTGACTTTCTAGTACATCAACTTGTAAGTAGTATTGTAAATTATCAATGATAAAAATCAAATTATTTCTTAATTGAATTACACCAATATCACTGTAATAATAAAAATATTTAATATTTAATATTAAATTAAACTATTTTTACATAAAGTAAAACAATATTGAATCAGTATAACATTTTTGAAAATCGAGAATTTATAATCCTTCAAGAAAAGTTATCATTATGTTTTCTAAATCAATATTAATAATTGTCATTGAATAAAAATGCTTTGAAAAATAATGAAATAAATAAATGTTATTTATTCATTCAATAATATAAAGTATCATTCTATTATCATATTAATTTTAGTTGTATTTTAGTTTATTTATTAATAATAATAATAATAATAATATTGATATTTATTATTGATACTTTTAAATATGGGAAATTGTTTCTATAGTAATATGAAAACTTTGCTGATTGATCGAAATATAATTACATAATATATAGTAAGAATGATATTTTTTTACGAAAAATATGCATAATATTGTGTTTACATTTCTAAACATTTAAAGATTGATATTCTAATGTTAATAATGTTAATAACATTTGAAAATGTGAATATACTAATATTGATCTAGCCATTCATATGTTATGTTATGAATAATGATTTTGAAACTGATAAATAAATAGAAATGTTAAACTGATATTAAAGAGATTATATAATCATATCTTACATATTTTTATAATACATATGCTCACTCCATAGATTCCATAAATCAATTTGTGTTTTTTTTAACTCTTAATAAAAATTTGAATAATATATTGTAATTATTTAAAGCAGATGGACTAAATAATAAGTGTAATGGCCATATGACTTTATATTTCAAAATAATCATACCCCATCCACGTCTTTCTATAATAATATTATATATGCATACATATAATAGTATTATATTATTAAAAATTTTATTATTTAAAATATTACGCTAAATAAAAAAAATATTTTACCAATAGGATCTTCACGTTCTTTTTCAGTAAATTCTGTGCCTTCTATCTCAATATCTTCACTTTCATTTGCTGGAACTGGTACTATAAAATTAAAATTATCCATAGCATTTTCATCATTTAAGTGCATTTTTCTTAAAGCCATTTGAAAAGCTAAATTAATATCTCTGGATGTATGTTGTGTTGGCTGTTTATTCAATATATGAGCTGTGAGTCTAATAAATTCAAGAAACAAATCACCTCGTCCCATAAGAAAGAAATCTTTTACTAATTTAAGTTGTTGTACAAGATGTGCTTCTTCAACAGCAACTCGCCATAAAAGTTCTGTTATACATTGTTTTAATTCATCAATTATATGTTCAAATTCAACAATATTAAAAATATGTTTTTTTTGGAGATTTTGAAGTTTAAGAAAATATTCATATTCTTTTTCTCCCCAAATGGAAGTTTCGGTTTGATCAACTATAGCAAAATCTATAAACAAATAAAATAAATTTATTTAATATCTTATGTAATTTAAAATTTTTGAAATACAAATTACCTTTTTTCTGTCTTGGGTCATTTCCAAACATTATAATAGTTTGTCCTATAGTTAAGATTTTAGTTGCTAAAGATGGTCTAATATAAGAAGGAAGCATATCTATTTGAACATCATAATTCCACATATCTGCACTAAATTTTGTATTCACTTTATCAGCAAAATTATCTTTATTGTGTACTAACATTAAATTGTTTTGTTTCTCAGATATCTTTTGAATGAAAAACTCATTGTACATATCTTCTAAATGACCATATAAAAGCCAATTAGTTAAATGTTTATAAAAGACTACATGTACACAATGAGACATTCTAAATAAATAAGTAATTAGCAAAAATGTAAATGTAAAATAAATAATATAATATATAATTACTTATTAAAAATATATATATATATATATATATATATATATATATATATATATATATATATATATATATATATATAT